CTTTTTGAAATCTTGATGGCTCGAGTTCTTTTTCCGAGACTTGGAAGTCGTTTTGGTCGTTAAGTCAACTTAATTAATTAGTGTCAAGACCCATTCTGGGTTGTGAATCACGCGCAGTAGTGTTGGTTAATTTTATTTCTCCCTTTCACAAATCTTTTGCCCCACCATAATACTATAGCTTTGATAATTCTTGTGCTACTGTTGTGCAACGTGAAGACGAGAAAAGCCCATCTCTGCCCCCAAAATACAAGTTTTAAAGGTCTTGCGCTGCTATTATGCAACGTGGAGACGGGGATCTTGGGAAGTAACACTACGGAAAAAAAAAGTTATTTTTTAGTGTATTTTACATTAAAAATACTCAAAATGCGTTAAAAGTTCTTATTTTCCAGCTTCGTGCAATGAAAAGTGCTGATGAAAAAAAAGTGCCTAATAGTTATTTTTCAGCAAAAAAAATGCGCTGAAAAAACTTACTAATATTGAATGTTGAAAAATAATATTGAGTGTTGAAAAATAATGATTAATTACAAATTAATAATATGTTTTAAGTTACCGTTATCACTTATTTTTTAACATTCAACACTGAAAAATAATTTATACTTTAGAGTTTAGAGGGATAGTTATTGTTTTCCAACGCGGAGCACTGGAAAATAATTGATATTTTTAACAAAAAATTAAAAAGATCATTTTTATATTACCATAATTGTATCCAATTAGTAAATATTTATAAATATACAATAATATTTAATATAAATAAATTTAACCATAAAATAATATTATATATATTAATCAAGTTTATATAAAAAAAGATTATATATATAAATCTAAAAAACACACTAAATAAACATACAACACATAATAATTAAAATTAAAGAAATTAAGTATGTAAAATGTTAATAATAAAAACACCACTTTATAATATATTAAAATTAATTATACATAAACAATTATATTTACTATATTTACTTTATAAACATAATCTTATATAAAACATTATATAATACATATAATTTAATAAATATTACCAAATAAATAAAATTAAATAATTAAATATACCTCAACTCCATGTAACAATAGTACTCATGGTTTAAATTTGTAGATATCCTTTTATAAAAGTTTGTCTTTATTTTATAAATTAAAAAGATTCAATCTATACACTTAAATTTTCTTCCATACTCGGTTTCTCCATTCAATTTTATTTAGATCTAATTCTCTTAAAAAAGAGAACAAAGCTGCAATTTCATATCCCATTGGAGTGTTTTTGAAAAGGGAGCTAATTTTTCTATAGAGAGATTACCATTTTTTTTTTTTCTCCTTCTGAAGCAAAATGTCAGGCAGTGTTCTCAATGCCTTCTTTTAGCTTTCAATGCCGTTGGATAATCTGATATCTTTAAAAAAAAAATCAAATCTTTTGTCTTTTTGAATATAAAAAATGAAAGTTAAATGAACTAATATTAGTCCAATTTTTAAGAAAATTTTAAGTATTAAAGAAGACTTGTTTTGTTATGTATTCTATTTAAATATTAAACATATAAAAATATAAATTTATATAAAATAATATTAATTATAATGATATGGTATTAAATAAACCTTTTGATTGTGTTCCCATTTTACATGCTCTTCGCCGTGACCATTAGTTTTGTGCAATTCGGATGACTGCATAAAATATTTAGGTATATATGCACATGTCAATGGACAAAACGTGAGTTTAGATTCTTAACTTATATTCTTTGAGATCCAGTGGACCAAATTCATAAGCTTAAGCTGCCACTAAATTAAGAACTGGGATCGCTCACAACATTTGTAAGGCCAATGGCTTTCTAATTGTATAATCCAGGGATTTACATTGTAATCATCAAAATACTATTTCAAAAGCACATTCCATTGACAGCATCAGAAAACAAATCTACACTGCTGTTTATCAACGGATTGTGGCAAAGCCAGCTTGATAAATTACGTTCGAGGCTACTGCGACTTTTGCTTCATCAAGTACTTTTGTATCTCGAAAAATTTTGCAGGAAGCTTACATCTGATCCCAAAATTCATGGTGCGGTGTATATA